GGGTGTGGTGGTAAAGATGGAGGAAAGGGAGGATCAGCTGGAAACGTAAGTCATCAATTTTCGTATGAATAGGAGTGAAAACCGTGTGAAGACAGAGCTTAGGTTACCGTTGCGACCGTCTGAGAAGACGCAAATATGTATTTTGTTATTTCAACCTCCATCTAGCTACAGGTGCGTCAAATTTTTACGGACAAGAAAATTAAACCTGAGTTGTCTATCCATTGTAAACTAGAGTTTTTCAAAGGCTTTCTTCCACCATTTTCTTGTAGATCGGTACTCACGCTGGGGGTGGGGGTCAGTCGTCTTGCCCAGGAGGACATGGTGGCAATGGAGGAAGTGCGGGGAAATGGCCTCCTAAACAAGCTCCCCACTGTTACGACAAGTCAGCATCAGGTGGTAACGCGGGCTCATCTAGCTCTGGAGGTGGAGGAGGTAATTATTAAGTTGTGTAGTCCATCACACTGGAAAGCCTTTTAAGAGATAATAACGGAGGTTCTTATGAAATTTGATGCCATTTTTAGCTTAAATCGCTAAACTGTAATCAAGGTAATGGATAATATTGGTATCTTCGATTTTAAGGTGATTCTTGTGGCAATCATTACGGTGGAGGTGGTGGAGGAGGTAAGTAGACAATTCTTTTTGTGTTTTTCCTCAAAGTGATTGAAGCTAAGATACTTCAGTCAGCTCTTTTGGTTTGATGTTGAATTTTAGGTCTGATTTGACTAAGGGTTTGGGCTCAAGCATCCATAGGGAACATTACGATTGAGGGTTGTAAAACAAAAGCAAAAGCAATAACAGCATTCAATCGTAACAAAAACAACACCCATGATCAAATTGCAATTGGTTTTAGTTTTAAATCTGATTGGCTGAGAGAATGGCAGGAGTTTTGTTGAACAATTATAGAGCGCGGTAAAGGAGACCATTTTAATTTCGGATTATCTTGAAATAAAGGTTTGCTCCAGATAACTTACAACTTTCATAACTCTTGGCCAGATTTTCAGCACATTTAAAGACAATCTTTGAAAGGTTTAGATTCTCAAAATGCAGCCAATCTTGTAGTCTAGCGGGGAAGACAAAACCTATATTATTTCTGGTACTATTTCTCTTCCAAATTGTACGCTGTTAGGCTAATTGCCAAAGTGGACTATTTACCTCAACGTCTTTCATGGACTTAAATGACGATGTTTTAAGACAAATTTTAACGTTTTCAAGCGAGGAAACTTCTATAACTGAATCTCTTATCTACCGCAAACCTAGGCGTTCTGGAGGGATTCGTTCTCTGTATAGGTAAAGAAATAATTAGATAACACATATGCAATGACACCTTCAGGGTCCACGGGGGCCACTATTTTTTGTTTATATTCAGGCGGACTCCAATTTGGCCATACCAACTTCAAGACTCACCTGAGTTACGGAGGGGGAGGTGGAGGGGGAGGAGCAAGTGCGTTCAGAGATGACCCCAACCCTGGAGGGAAAGGTGGAAGTGGAGGAGGACTGGTGTATTTACAGGTTGGGAAACTTGTACTACAAGGGACCATCAGTGTTAAAGGTACGATCCAGAAAAGCATAAAACCTACCCCTTCCCTCCAAAGTCTCCGCCCTTTAACTCCCAGAAGTGACTAACAAGTAACTTCTCGATCCATGTACTACACATACATTATCCAGTAAACAGAGAATACTGTTTTATTTAACACTAAATTCTTACAATTTTCTTACATAGAAATTTGTAGTACATAGAGGGAAGAATTAATAACCAGATCTTGGGAATTTAATGGGTAGACTTAGAATCCTTCTCAGAGAAAAGTTGTTGAAAGACCAAGTTTTTCGATAATGTTCAAACCATACCTTATTCCAGACCTAAATGGTAAAAAGTGATTCCCTTTTCAGACCTAAATGAGTAACAAACAAGATAATAGAGCCTATTGGTCTAAAACTGCACCCTCTGAGTTGCAAATGCCTATATAATGTAAAGGAAAGCAGCGCAGGACGTAACTAAAAATGATAAATTGTTCCACATTGTAAATCTGCGTCCTGGCTGTTTTATGGAGCTAATACTTTAATATCACTTTACCAGGAAACTCTGGACAATGTCTCAACCGGAAACGTCACAGATCAGCCCCTGGGGGAAGTGGCGCTGGGGGCAGTGTTGTCATCTTTACCAAGAAACTCATCGGAGATCCGAAGAGTAAAATTTCCGTTTCCGGAGGGGATGCTGTAAAATGTGCCTTTGGAACTGGCGGTGGTAAGCAAACAAAGTCCTTTGCTAACCATGCCGTGAGAAATGCTTAGTGAAGCTCAGTAAAATATCGGTCCACCCAAGCTTTTGATCATATTATACGCTCTGGTAAAAAACCTTATCTTATGGCAGATGGTTCTAGGGTTCAAAGAACTAAAAACGTACGGGATAAGAGTTTAGGGTACGGTACGGGATGAGGTATCGCAACCCGCGGGATCGGAAAGATGAGAGCTTTCCAGAGAACCAGAGATCAGGCTCTTTAAGATGAAAAAAAATGTCTTTTTAACAGGAATTTCAAGTTTTTGAATAGTAACTTCGAAATGAGCGGAGGTGGATCTAAAATGAGTGAAAAATATTTTGACAGCATAAAATATATATATGTATATATATTATGAGAGGAAAAAAGGACGCAACTACATTTCCCGACAAGCCTGTTTCGTGAAGCGATTCACGAAACAGGCTTGTCGGGAAATGTAGTTGCGTCCTTTTTTCCTCTCATAATATTTATTCTGCTCTGCTTCAACGTATTGAGCACTGTTCCACGTGAAAATCGACTTGCAGACTTCCTATATATATATATATATATATATCCCCTGATGAGTGCTAAATGTTGTGGTAGCAGAGCTAAGTATACATAAGTTAAAGAATTAAAGAGAACGCATCGATTCTCTGTGACTCTGAGTTTTGCGCCTAAGCGCTCGTCAGACAAAACTTTTTGGAAAAAAGTTAATATCTAATCAATTGATTTTCCAGGTGGAGGTGGTGGTATCGGACGCTGGGTTGTACAGGAAGGTCAATCCACCCATCACAGCTAAATCTGTCATGGACTTTAAAAGAACGAAGCCGAAACAAGTGAACAGCTAATGGGTTCGCTTTACATGATTTGTTCTCTGTTGTATCAGCGTGGTATATCCGAACACAAGTTCTCTTGACACCATCAATTAGTTGTAGTTGAAGGATGCAAAGTAGGAAATAAACTTAGTTGAATCTCGTCAAAGTCTTGCGTATTCATGATACCGAATGATCGAGCCTATTTATTATTATTTTTTTAAGCCTACGAGCAGACGCTTATTGTCAGTACTTTGGAACGAGCTTTCCTTCGCTCGCGAGGAATTATGAGGCCTTGAACTACGCGAAGCGATGAGAGGTCTGCAGGGGGTTCCATTATTAGTCCCAGACTCCACTCACATCTCGACTCGTCTCAAATCCTCCCGCGTGTGGAGAAACGCGCGTTCTGGAACACTAGGACATGCTCGTAAGCTATTTCTTTTCGTGCCTGTCGTTCTGAACAAGTCTTACCCAGGTCTTTACCCTCTCTGTTTTTTTTTGTTTTTGTTTTTTGTTTTTTGTTTTTTGCTTTTTGTTTTTTACTTTTTGTTTTTTGTTTTACTGAGGCAAGTACTGATCTATGGGAACTGAAGGAAAAGTAACTACCTCAACGATTCTTGTAACTTTCTTCCGTTTACAATTAATAATGGTAATAGGACCAAGTGGAGTCCAATTCGGACTGTAATCATACGAGTGATTATCAAAATCGTCGATTTTTCTATCACGAGTACGATTACTGACAGGATTGGACGACATCAATTCCTGTTACAAATTAATAACCGTTACAATTTCCGGAAAAAAAATACATTTAGGACAAACATCTCTTGTAAAGACAATGTCTAAAGTAAGAAATTCCTCCATTTTGGAAATTCCCCAGTTTACATTTTTTTTCCAGGATAAGTGGTTGTTGCTATGGTTATTGTGATCAATTTTGTGATTGGTGGATTTAGCTGAGTGGACTTGATTGGCCGCTTCAGCTGTCCGATAACAGGTGCCTGATTACAACCAACTGTCCGATTACAACTGTATAGAATGATTAGTGAAATTTAAAGCAGCTGATGCACCAATCACATTTCAGGAAATAGTAATGGTTATGATTAATATCAAAAAGCTGATCCGAGAGCCAAGTGGTGAAAGTGTTATTAGAACAAAGCATCGTAATGGTGCTTAACTTATAGCTGTAAATTCAATTGACGCGTTTTATTAACTGTCTGTATATTCGGAATTTGACGGCAGATGCCTTGATAGAACACAAAGTGGCAGTTTATTGGAGCAATTTTGCAGAACAGACTGTGATAAATTATTCACAAAACAGTAACATGATTTAGTCAAACAGAACGGGGATCTTTCTTTACAACAGCAAGTCATTTTTGTAAAGAAGGATAACCGAAACCAAACCAGAACAATCTACGAAAAACTGTGACAAAAGGTTAGTGACAAAAACATGAACCAGGCGAAGTTAAAAAATTGGCGACTGCAGATTAATTCAAGCAGTTGGAATGTCGGTCGCTGTTTTCTTAGAGAATAATTGAGATATATTGCTCCCCTTATCAACAATAGGAAAGTCTTTTTTTCCAGGGTACAATGGCGGAAAATGGTTTGCCTTGCATATTTTAATCAAAAGTGTCAAGAAATCGTTCAACAAAGCAGTTCTGGTGACTTTCGCGATAAGGAAAAGACGGAAGGGGGGGAAGGGGGGGGAAGATGACAATGAAAAAAAGCTGCACACAAACCCGAGTTCATCTACCGTATTAATTTTTAAGTTGTTACAAGAACTTGTTTCCGCCGATGTTTCCTTTTATTCTACATATATGAACAGAACATCTTGTTTTGATCAGCTTTCCACCGTATATTAAACTTGTACATTGTCGTAATTTTGAAGTGATTTTTACAAAATAGTTACTTGGACGTAACAAAAAGGATCCGGAAAACGTTGTTTCCTTAGCTCCCTATAAAGTGCACAATAAGATTGTAAGTTGACTCAAGATAGCCGAAGTGTATCATAACTTCAACCAAATGTTAAATACTGTTAGTAATGTTGATTCGATGCCAGAGTATGCTACGTTACTTCGGATCCTGTAGTTTTGTCGAAGCTTTCGGTCACTTTGTGAATGTGCCCCTGACCAAATAAAGAGCTGTTTCATTCTCCTTTCCCATAAACGTGGCAGAAGTTCTCTGGTGCGACATTATAGGTCGACAATTTCAGGTCCTTGATATTCATGCTTCATTCTTTCTTTTACCATGGTAACACTGTTCATAAGCTCCTCCATGCTCGGTCGCTGATCGGGGTCACCTTTGACGCAATCACGAATCGTGGCTTTAAGCTCGTCAGAGAAATTTTCATTGATATCTGGAGGCGGTCTGCCCTCCATAATGTTTGCCAGAGCAGTAAACATGTCATTCCCTTCAACTTGATAGGCGGGTTCAAGTGCTGTGATCTCGTACAGTAAACATCCAAGAAGCCACACCTGGCTTTCGGGGCCAAAGGCGTGTCCTTTCATGACCTCCGGGGGTGAATAGAACCCCGCTCCATCAACCCTGACATCAGGGTCATTCATCGTATCCTCCGGGGATGATTGGTACAGCAAACCACTGTCTAATTTGAGGTTTCCATGTTCGTCGAAGGAAATACGCTTCGTCGCTTTAGCAGTCTTGTAGAAAATGCCTTTCTCATTCAGATACTTCATAGCGGAGCACAATTCGCAAAACGCTTTCCATATCAAGTACTCGGGCAAATGCCTCCGTAGTTCTCGCCGCTCCCTGATAATATCCTCCAGTGAAACTGGAGGGTATTCGAATACAATTATTTCCGTACCACCTTGATGAAAGCGCAGAAAACTACGCATGATATTTGGATGGTTGACATCTTTCCAAGCTTCCATAGCGGCCTGAAAATGATCATCTACTAGACAAGGCATGACGCACTTAAGCAATACCTCTGACATGTCCAGAAGACACTTAGCAGGATAAACGCAATTCAACATGTTCTCTGAGCTCAAGTTATTTCGGTTTACAAAGAAATCGTCCACAGTGAGCTGATTGGCTAGATAGTTGATCATTGTCTTTGGAATTGGAAGATCTACGATGCGCGCTAGTCGTTTCAAACCCACAGCTTGTAGAATGAATGTGCGGCAGTGTTGTTGGAGGGAGCCTGGTTGAGGGTCGAAAGAGGAGAACGCTCCCTCCGGGTTCAGAATGTTAAATCTTGCTTGGTCTGTGGACGAGTCCTGCAAACGCGTTCTTCTCGCCATATGTTAGATATCGGTCAGCTTTCTTAGCTGGTACGCGCACAGACTTCGAATCATGTGCTCGCGTTAATTGAAAACCTCATCAATACATTTAAGCAATTAATTAGCTTTGTGCGTCAAGATGGCATTCGAATGCCGGAAGCTTTGTAAAGCTTGCCGCACTTCAAAGAGCTAAAAGCAATTTGAGTCAGTTTTAGCCGTCGGAAGGCCTACCAAAAAATGAAAAGAACCACTGATGAAAAAAGGGCCTTCGGCGCGAAATACTTGCTACTACAATCTAAAAGATATATATATTTATCATTCTTGAAATCATCTTTCTTGCGTTACTTTATCTACGAGCACTAACACTACCTAACAAGCGATGTTTTGAAGATTTTAGATATATGAATTTCATATATATAGATAGATATATGAATTTCATATATTTGCACGGAATTTCGTATATTTGCCCGCACGGGCCTTTTCTTATTGCGATAGATGTGGATAGTTATTGCATATGCGCACTAGCAAAACAATAAATCACATTCGAACCTATTTTAGGCGGTCACCCACGGGGAACGGCGGAGCGACCGCTAAATACAGGTTGACGGCTTAATACCGGTTTCATAGAAAAGGGTTATTGTAAAAAAACGATAAAAATCGGCATTTTATGTCATAACGGAACACTTAATGTACCACAACTTGCTCAAAAATACTAATTACATTGATTTCGGCATATAAACATAATTTTACTTTAAAGATCATTCTTAGTTTGATTTGAGTGGTTCCACTTTAGGTAAACATTCATTACAGGTAGAGGGCAATACAAACAGACCATTGGGACTCAGTGAAGGTTGACCAAAATTGCTACATAGAGGTGACCGCTTAATAAAATCAAAATTACAGGAATTAACCCATTAACTCCCAAGATCTCAACAGTAATTCTCCTTACTGTCTGCCAAACAATTCTCATCATGTTAGTTTGGAGAATTTGGTATCAGATCAATTAGTAATCCCATAATTGATATTTTTCTTAATTCTCATCATATGTCTACATGATATTGTATAGGTACAGTGAGGAGAAATTCTGTCTTAGTCATTCACAGGAGTTAAGGGGTTAAAGGGTATAAATTATGGGACTTAGAAAACCGACAGCTTAATATGTTGCCATTTAATACAGGGTTGACTGCAGTTGAATGGAAAGCATGCATTGATACCATAGGGTTGGAGAGTCCTGCAAAATTCTAGAACAAAAATTTTAAAAACTTTTTACAGTGGCCAGTTTACATAATCAAATCAGTTAATACAACCAAATTACTTTGTAATGTCCCCACCAATGCAGCAACTCTTTAGAAACTTACACCCTTGAACTGAAGATAGTTCAGAACACAGTTTTGTCAAAAAACGGCAAAATTTTATTGGAAAAAAATTCTATGCGTTATTTTATGCATACATGGAATATTCACTAAAAATTGTGACTAGATGTCCATTTTTTTCTGATTCAAGTCATGTAAAGTATGTTGAAAGCATTACAATTTTTTTTTTAAGTGTAGAACAAAATGAGGTGTAGAAAGAATGTGTTTGGTGATAATATATTATCATCAGTAAAAACTAGGAATGTCTCTCAAGTCATAAGTTAATTGGAATGATTTCACACACTTTAGGATAAAGTAAAGTTTTACCTTCGCATGCACCAGTATGAACAAATAGAGACCAAAAGGTTTCTATCTCCAGAAAGGTCTTTTGTTATTCTGCAATCTCTGAAGACATCTTTGAGAACAAATAAAACTCTCTGCTGGAATGTGGCTTTGTGTAGGACAAGCAGACACAACTGTATGAGCTAGCTGATGAATATTGATAGTTATAATGTGGTGGACACACGATGTGAAGCAGTAGTTTCCACAAAAACACTGTTTTGCTGTGTCCAGAAATACACATAGAGAGGATGGAATGAGTTGTTTGAAGTATGCACACCTGCCGGAAGAAGAGAAGAGATTGGTAGTCAGAAAAGTTGCTGCAAAAGAGGAGTTTGTATTTCAATGTGGAGACACATGACCAGTGGCTGTGACTATTTTCTGTGACAAACTTTTCTGTCTGAAAAAGTTCCTATGACTTATTTTAGTGCTGTCTCACTAAACCTTTTAACTCCCAGAAGTGATTAATATGCAACCTCTTCCTTTAATATCCATACATTACCCAGCAAACAGGTACTGAGAATACTCAAACTTATCAGGTAGAAATTGCTACCTTGATCTAACACTAAATTCTCTGAACTGATTAAAAAGGAAATGTTTGGCTGTTAGAAGGGAGAATTAACAGTCAGATCTTGGTAGTTTAAAGGAGCCAAATTGGATGTGGTTGTCTGGGGTATCCTGAGGCTTCAACTGTGGAATACCACCCTCATGGCTGGCAAACCCCTGCAACTCTGTCCTGAGGCCTCATAAACCTCAGCAGTAATAACTTCTCACTAACCTGAGTGAGAGGTCTGAACTGGAGAATTTTGGCCCATTTTATTTACAGACCATGTACAGCAGCATGGTCTGTACAAAAACAACTGAGGGCCAATTTCTCCAAGTACAGCTCATATAAGCAAGGTTAGTTAGAAGTTAATTACAAACTTGTTTATTATGAATTTTCCAGCTTTCACCAACAAAAATATACCAGATATACAGTTTGTTCATATGGCAAAATCCTGAACAAAGTAAGAACTTATTAGAATGCCAAGAATTAATTCAGAACTATCTTTCCATATAATAAAAATAACAGGAAATTCTCAATGAAATTTCAAGATCACTTGTTAGTAATACTCACTTGTGCTTCTTGACAGCAATTCCTGCACATTCCTTCAATGATGGAACAGCCAATTTGCTAACGTTGTACCACTTATCCTGAGCTAAAAATGGGTTTGCAGATACATCAATGGAATCCAATTTTAACTTGGATAGGCTGTAAGGTAAGACCTTTAGCTGGTTGTGACTGGCAGAGAGGAATCTCAGATGTGAAAGACTTCCAGTATTTATTGGTAACATGTGAAGACTGTTCTTATCAAGTTTTAAATGAACAAGGTTCTTTAAGTTACAGAATGTCACAGGTAAAAGCTTTATTTCATTTTGACTGAGATCTAAGAGCTTCAAGGATGATGTCAAGCTTCCAGAACACAACAAAGATGGAAATTCCCTGATCCGATTGCCATGCAAAATTAGCTCTGATAATGTTGAGAAACTGGCCAGTCTGCAAGGGATTGCCCTCACTTGATTGTCAGCAACATTCAAACATGACAAGCTCTTCATTTGTAAAATGCGTGCCTCAATACGCACAATTCCACAGTTGTTTACAGTCAACTTGTCAAGCTTACTTAGAAATGGCTTTCCAAGAGGATAATCTGCTCTACGTTTGATCACCATTTCAGTTTTGGGCTTTTCTATTTCAGAGATCTTTGCAGGAACCAGACAGGATAGGTTGACATTTTCCAATGCTTTATCTCCAAGCTTGAGTAAAGATAAAAATGTTTTCAGACTTGATGGGTCAGCCTGTTGACAAAGTAAACAACAAATGATACAAGGGAATGAAAAAATTAACTTAGTAATTCCCCATAGTTTCTTGGTGCTAAGGATGGAGGGGAAATGAAAAGAATTGAAAAGAAACTTCAGAACAATTAAACTACTGTTCAACACAACAGCTGATGAACAATATGCTTTCGACATCAGGAAACATTGTTATAGACATTCTGAAGCTACTAATTCGTTGGATTGATCAAAATCAAGTCATCTAATAGGACATCTGCAATCATTTTCTTTACACCCCCTTCCTTATTCTCTTCTCGTAACCCCATCCCCTCTTCCACCCTATGCGCTAAATCAGAGACTACTTTTTGCATATTCGGCAGTCAATACCTTGTTGATGAAGAGGTCGTGTGGAGGTTCTTTAAAGCGAATCGTAGCTTTGCCTTTTTCGAGAAACTTGGAGAAGACCTGCTGCAGGTTTTCTTTGATCTGTAACGAGTTCAAAGGATCGATAACAAATAAAAATCATCGAAATAATACTTGTACTTGTACTATCAAGCTACAATAAATGTACTACATGTATCAAAAACTAAGTAAAAGCTCAGTGCATAATCGAAAAAAAAATTAAAAATCACACAAAATGCAGTCAAATTTATAAGGAAGAGAATGCTCAAATTTAGCAGCCTCGCACACCACACACCTTGTATTTAGCTCCATTCCTCTCTTTTGCTGTACAAACTAAAAGAAACACGTTCTTTCCTCTCTCATCGTCAAGTTTCGAAGAATCTTTTCGCCCGATTGCTAAAGAGGCGCGCGCAGGCTTGCTTGCATTTCGCACGTTGTGAGAAGCAGCTATACGATTTACGATCGATATTTCACAGTTTATACGCATTCTTGTTTTTTCGGATGAAAATACTTCTAAAAGAATAACATTCAACAACCTTCCCCCCAGCTTGCCGCCATATTTTGACTCTAATCACGTGTTTACTTTTGACCAATCGTTAGCAATTAGAAGCCTTGAGCCCGCGATAATGTTCGAGAGTCCAACTAACCCTCACAAACCTTCGATTCTTAATGATTGCGGTCGAATAGTTTAGTTTTCCCTCATATTTCTCTCTCAAACATGGCTAGTATGGAAACACCAAATACCGTATTTGTTCAGATTACAAGCTCAGTGACCTCTTTTACATCGGAAAAGAGGCTTCAGAGAAACGAAACAATTTCTCTTCTGAAGGTTTGTTCAAATCGCAAGTTACTCATTTTTAGTGAACAAAAACTTAGCTTGAATTCCAACAAAATCGCCCTTTATGTCACCCTGCTTTGGATCGTCGTTACTTCAGTGGTTTTCGTTGATGTTTGCTTGTATACTAAACGATTTCGAAGCTGGAAACAGATAACGAAATGAATGTTTTAAGTTAATATATTAAATCAGCACAAATAAGTAACTGATTTTATTTTAGACACAGTATGAAAGTATTTCGTTATGCAATTATAAACAATTTCTCGAACATGATATGATAAATCACATTTGGAGGTTCTGACTTGATTTTTGGTTTAAAAAATATACTGAACACATTTTTGGATTTCTATCATAATAATTGTTTTTTTTGTAGGGAAAATTGGAGCTAATCACTGGCTGCTCTGCAATGACAATGGAAGTTCAATTATTGGACAAAGAAGGGAAATTTCTTTGTATTCTCAACAACGAAGATGCTATGTTGGGTGCCTATCCAGTTGATGACAATATGAGACTGCATGTAGGTATATTTACTTGAATTATTTTTGTAGATGTTGTACTAAGTAGCCCCCTGGTAATATTAAGCCACTGTGTAGAGGATTAACACAACTGTTTAAACAGTCATGATAGTTGATGATAGTTGTGATGGTTTCAACTTTCATTCACTCTCATTGACTATCATGGTTGCATTCAAACAGTTCATGGCAGTCTCCTTGACATTCTCTTTACCCACACAAATCTGGCCAAGGGTAAGGAACAGACCTCCCTGTGTTGTGGTCTGGCCTTGTTATTGTTTACATAGGCCTCCAATCAGCCTGTCTTAATGTCGCAAGTACATACATATATACTAGTGCTTGATTTTTCTTGAATTTTCCTTCTCAAGGTTGTTGATAAAGATCCCTCTAAAAAGGCCGGTGAATTTGAAGATTTATCAGCTGTGGAAAAGTATGAGATGAGCACAGAAGATTACTCTAAAAGATCTGGTAAGCTGAACTAGTAGAGCTTCTAAAAGGTGGTGCCCAGAATCTTAAATCAAGTAATAGCTTACCAACAACCTGCTAGTAACTATAGAACATTTCTATACACCACCAGTAAACCTTAAACAATGGACCAACAATTCTGCAGTTAAAAAAAAGAGTGATGGGTCATGTTGGCTGTGTTCAAGACCTTGTTGAACTTTTGATTATCTTGTCAATTTGACTTGGGCAAAAAAAAAAGGTGTTTAATTGTCTTATGTTCTCTAAAAATGCAGAAGATATTAGACTCCGTGACATTTCTTTTTCAAGTATATGCACCTTTCATGGGTCGGAATAACCCTTTACACCCTTTTCTCCCTACTGTTCTCCATGCATTTCTTAAGGTGTTGACAGGGAGAATTTGTTTAACAATCACAATCTGCTTTAGTTGGTGATCATTTCCTTTACTCTCGTGACCTTAAAGTTTGGTTCAGGGGTGATATTGTAAGGAGAAATTAGATGCTAATCATGATAGGTAAGTACAGAATAACCGATAAACTAGACCTACTGGTGTAACTTTTCTTGATTGTCCAAGAATTAACTATTTGTATTTCAGATTCGGTAAGAGCCTTCAAACAAAAAAACAAGTTGGGCCAGTTTAAAGAGAAAACTCCTGAAGAAATTGAAGAAGAGAAAGAGAAAGAACGACAAGAAGAAACTGCCGCAAAAGCAATCACTGTTGGTTCTCGATGTGAAGTCACAGTCAGTAATGCTCCTGCTAGAAGGGGTGTAGTCATGTTTGTAGGTAAGACTTTTGCATTGGGTATCATACATGTTTTTGCAAAAGGTTAGTCCTGACAGGGCCTCAAGTTTTTACAACCTGAGCCATTGTTATCATCAGAGTGGAGTGAAGAGGTCTTAAGATTAGTCAAGTGATTCAAGTTT